CAATGGCTCCATGTCTAGTTGGCAGCTGGTATCAAGTGGAGTGCCCCAAGGGTCGGTCCTGGGGCCGGTTTTGTTCAATATCTTCATAAATGATCTGGAGGATGGTGTGGATTGCACTCTCAGCAAATTAGCGGATGATACTAAACTAGGAGGAGTGGTAGATACGCTGGAGGGCAGGGATAGGATACAGAGGGACCTAGACAAATTGGAGGATTGGGCCAAAAGAAATCTGATGAGGTTCAACAAGGATAAGTGCAGGGTCCTGCACTTAAGACGGAAGAACACAATGCACCGCTACAGACGAGGGACCGAATGGCTAGGCAGCAATTCTGCGGAAAAGGACCTAGGGGTGACAGTGGACGAGAAGCTGGATATGAGTCAACAGTGTGCCTTTGTTGCCAAGAAGGCCAGTGGCATTTTGGGATGCATAAGTAGGGGCATAGCGAGCAGATCGAGGGACGTGATCGTTCCCCTCTATTCGACATTGGTGAGGCCTCATCTGGAGTACTGTGTCCAGTTTTGGGCCCCGCACTACAAGAAGGATGTGGAAAAATTGGAGAGAGTCCAGCGAAGGGCAACAAAAATGATTAGCAAAAAGAAAAGGAGTACTTGTGGCACCTTAGAGACCTTAGAGACTAATCAATTTATTTGAGCATTGGTTAGTCTCTAAGGTGCCACAAGTACTCGTTTTCTTTTTGCAAATACAGACTAACACGGCTGTTACTCTGAAAAATGATTAGGGGTCTGCAACACAAGACTTATGAGGAGAGGCTGAGGGAACTGGGATGGTTTAGTATGCAGAAGAGAAGAATGAGGGGGGGATCTGATAGCTGCTTTCAACTGCCTGAGAGGTGGTTCCAAAGAGGATGGTTCTAGACTATTCTCAGTGGTAGAAGAGGACAGGACAAGGAGTAATGGTCTCACGTTGCAGTGGGGGAGGTTTAGGTTGGATATTAGGAAAAACTTTTTCACTAGGAGGGTGGTGAAAGACTGGAAATGCGTTACCTAGGGAGGTGGTAGAATCTCCTTCCTTAGAGGTTTTTAAGGTCAGGCTTGTCAGAGCCCTGGCTGGGATGATTTAGTTGGGGATTGGTCCTGCTTTGATCAGGGGGTTGGACTAGATGACCTCCTGAGGTCCCTTCCAAACCCTGATATTCTATGGTTCTCCAGGAATTGTCCCTCTCATTGATAAAGGTCCATCTAGCGGCCATCTCGGCTTTCCACCCACCGTTACAGGGTAGGTCTGTTTTTGCTCAGGAAATCATGGCCTGATTCCTTAAAGGCCTGGAGTGCCTCTATCCACAAGTCAGAGACCCCATCCCTCTGTGAGACTTGAATCTGGTGCTGTCTCAGCTAACGGGTCCTCCCTTTGACGGGTCCCCCCTTTGAGCCCTTGGCTTCTTGCTCTCTCCTCCTCTCCTGGAAGGTCACGTTCCTGGTTGCAGTGATGTCGGCCCACTGGGTATCCGAGATTCAGGTGCTCACCTTGGAGCCACTGTACATGGTCTTCTACAAGGACAAGGTCCAGCTAAGGCTACACCCGGCTTTTCTTCCTAAAGTAGTCTCTGTTTCATTGGAGCCAGAACATTTACTTACTGGTCTTCTTTCCAAAGCCGCATAAGTCAGAAGAGGAGCTCAGGCTAAGTGCCCTGGACGTTAGGAGGGCTCTGGCCTTCTGTGTGGATAGGACCAAGTTGTTCCGTAAATCGATGCAATTGTTCGTCACAGTGGCTGACAGGATGAAAGGTCACCCGGTATCCACTCAAAGAATTTCTTCTTGGATCATGGTCTGCATTCGCTTTTGCTATGACCAAGCGAAGGTGCCACCTGCGGCGATCGTCACCACCCACTCTACAAGGGCGCAGACTTCTTCGGCAACTTTCTGGCCCATGTGCCTATCCAGGGCATCTATAGAGTGGCCAAATGGTCGTCTGTCTACACTTTTACGTCCCATTATGTGCTGACCCAGCAGGCCTGGGATAAGGCTGGTTTCGGTAGGACAATACTGCATGCCGCTAAGCTATGAACTCCAAGCCCACCTCTGTTGATACTGCTTGTGAGTCACCTGAAAAGGAATTGACATGAGCAAGCACTCAAAGAAGAAAAACCGGTTAACTACTTTTCGTAACTGTTCTTCTAGATGGGTTGCTCATGTCCATTCCATTTCCCCCCCCCCCACCCCTCTGTTGGAGTTGCCAGCAAGAAGGAACTGAGAGGGTGCCAGGAGGGCGGCAGCACCTGATATACCACTGCATGGGAGTGCCACTCCAGGGGGCACCACAGCCAGCCCTAAGGATAACGCTGAGGCAGAAATCTCTGACAGCTGTGCATGTGGGTGCGTGCACACCGAGAATGGAATCGACACGAGCAACACATCTCAAAGAACAACAGTTATGAAAGGTAGGTGACAGTTTTTTCTCCGAGGTCAGCTGAATGACCTGGGCCTCCAAGGCTTAGTTGTCAGCCTGAAGTCAGGCAGCCCAGTTGGGAGTGTCCAGTGCTTCCAGAAGTTTGGCCAGGTCTATTTTACTGGCATCAAGCCCACTCCTGTGGCTTAAGTGGTCCATGCAAACTGACGTGGGCAGTCTGACCTAGCAGCCAGACCAGGAGTCGGGAGCCAGGCTGGGTCAGTTACCAGGAGATTAGATTCTGAGTTATGCCAGAGATCGAAAGTCAAGTGTAAGGAGGCAGGCAGGGTCAGGTTACCAGGGGATCAGAGTCAGGTAGTAGGAGCAGGTAGTGCAAGGGAAACAGTCCTGAGCAGGGGCAACCCAGTTACATGGACAACTTCTTCTTCCTGTGCTTGATTTTAAATACAGTCAGGGACATTCAGAACCCCCGAATTCCACCTAGCAGATTCCAGGATTGCAGTCCTCTGTTCTCTCAGAATTCAACTTCTAGTTCTGGTGCCTGTTAGCAGCCACTTGGTGGCAGGGAGTAGTGGATCAGTGTTCTCATTGCACACATCATGAGTACCTGGTTCATACCAGGAAGCTGACGATCTAACCAACGAATCACATTCAAAATCCTTTTTAGGGACACATGTAGATCACTTGCCAACCAACATTTCTGATGCAATTCTTTCCCCCCAATGTTTGAGCCACGGTGGAAAGTGTCCAAGGTCAGGCTATCTCCTCTGAGGATCTCTGGGTGGATCTCAGGTTGTATCTTACTCTGCTATCAATTGTCTCACTTTCCTTCCCTCACGCAGGATGAGCACAAGCAGTGTCTATAGCATTGCTTGAGGGTAGTGTCTTTGGTTAACATTTGTAAAGCAGCTACGTGGACTTCCAACCATATGTTCCTGAGTCATTATGCTTTAGTAGAAGACTCTACTGCTGACACATACTATGAGGCAACAGTCCTTCATGCAACTCTGCCACCTACATCCTTGCACTCGCTTCTTTCTTGAGTACTAGCTGTCAGTCACCCACAATGGAGTACACATAGGGACCAGCACTTGAAGAAGAAGAGGAAGTTATTTACCTTACAGGTTATTTGAGATTTGTGGTCCCTATCATACATACTACCACTCTCCTTCCCCTCTGCTTTGGACATTGATTAGATTCATGGTAGAGAAGGAACAGGAGAGGTGGTTGGTGTGCTCCATCTTTTATCTCCTTCGGTGGAGGCCCTAGGAAAGTAAGGGTGCATGTGCGAGCCAGCGGACACTGCTTTCAAAATTCTCTGACTCTGGGAGCATGGAGTACATGCGTATCCCTAATGGAATACAGATAGGGACCACACATCTCGAAGACCCTCCAGTTACTATAAGGTAAGTAACTTCCTCATGCTGGGGGTGAGCTAGGGCTGGAGGTTGGTAGGGCAGATCTTGCACTGAGAGAGAGAGGCAAAAGAGGCAAAGGTGGAGGGAGGGAGGGAGCGAATCAACAACAGTGAAAGAAAGGATGAGAATGCTGAGAGCAGATAAGAAGTCACTGATGTTGAAGGACTAGAAGTCACGGAAAGACCAAGTGACAGGGCATGAGGGAGTTGGGGAGCAATGGGTGATGCTGAAAGGGAGGGAGCTCAGCAAGAGAGATCTGAGAAAGCAATGCTTGGTGAGACCAAATTCCATGAGTGTTCCTTTTGGTGAATGGGAGAGTTGACCATGAGCTGCAGATTGAATGAAGAGGGGAGGAAAAGAAAGTGTGCAGCTAAGGGGTTGGATGGGTTGTTCCCATGGAAGTTGAAGTCCCTGATGCTGAGTGTGGGAGATTGTAAGAAGAGGGAGAGAGAGAGAGAGCGAGGAGTTGAGATCAGAGAGGAAGGCTGATGGGGAGGAGCTGGATGGATGGTAGGTGACAGCAATATTGAGGGGGAGAAGAGAGAAGTCAGATGCAGCATTGTTCAGAAGAAGAGAGGAGGGGGAAGGGAGGAGGGAGGTATTGGAAATAGCAGCAAGGGGACAGGAGAAGCTCCGTACCCCACCACAGTCTGATCCAGGCGGGGGGAGGGGGGGCAGGGCGGGGAAGGAAGGGGTGAGAGAAGGAGAAGCCTCTATAAGAGATGGCAGCTGTAGAGGGATCCAGGTTTCTTGAAGAGCCAGGAGCTGGAGGGAGCAAGATAGGAAGAGGTCACAGGTGGCTGAGATCTTTGTAGATATGTCATGGCGTTCCAGAGACAGCGAGAGAAGTGGAGGTGCAATGTATGTGAGGTTAGCAATGTTGGCACAAAATGGACAGGGGGTGGGTGAGGAGTGGATTGAGGCAAATGTACCAGAGGTGAGGAAAAGGATGCAGATGTAAAACCTCACCGAGGGCATCAGTCTTACATACAGAACAAATTTCCAGGGATCGTGGCCTGGCCTTATCCATGGCATACGAAAAGAGGCCTCCTATAGTGCTGAGAATGTGATGAAGTGCCTGCCTGCTAACAACTCCCTTAATCCCATGGGAAAACCTGTATGTAGATGTGGCACAACCATGTATTAACTTTATAGCAGCTGATTACCTGGAAATGTCTTCTTTTTAATCATTTCACCATGTTGCCTCTGTCAGGAACATCTTTGATTCAGGATATGAAGGCTTATCTAGAAGGAGCTGGGATCGAGTTTTGTGATATCATCCTCCTGTTAGATGGCCACCCAAGACCAGCACATAAGGCAATTCTGGCAGCCCGCTCCAGGTGTGTGCACTCTGATCAACCATTTACTGAAACTTAGAAACTTTTTAAATAGTCATCATTTACTAGAGCAATAACAAATGTCATGTGTGGACATGATTTCTCAGTACCACAGACTGCTTCTTGGATCAGGTTGTTTTGAAGCACACAAGAGAATAGGCTTCTGTTCACTGAGTAACACATAGGATTTTTCTCCTAGAAATTAAACATAATAGAGCCATTAAGCAACAGTGACTAAAATATGAATGAATTTGCCATCTCAGCAGGGAAATGTTAGAAAATCAAAACTTTAGTTGAATAACAGATGGTCTGTATCCTACCACAATTTCAAAAAGAAGCAAATAATCACGCATAAAACTACTGTCATGAACTTGAAAGGAACAAGTGTTCATGAAGAACAAAAAGGATGTTCTAAAAATGAAAATGCAGCTCAAGAGATGCTAATAGAATGAAGCCTAAACTTTGGTATGTAAGCTATGAGGTAGAGATTTAAGAATCCATTGAACAAACATATAAAAACATCAATACATTAGGGGGTAGATTGATCTCTCTGGGTTCCCACTTGGTTGAAGTTGTAAATAACTTACTCGTTTAAGGGTGTATCATACGTCTCTTCCCTGGCACGGCCAACCAGCTCTCTTGGCTGGTACATGTAGTGAGGAGAGGTGGATATTGGTTCTGCCCTTCCCTGTACCTTCTTCACTCACTTGTAGGGGGAGCATTGGGTGCATGGCATTGGGTTCTGCAGTGCATAGAGCTGCAATCTAGGCAGCCTTAACCTGGCTGAGTGAGAGAGATGGGAATCTACTCTGTGTATGGCTATGTTAAAGCTAGGCATGATCTAGTCCTGTGTCTGTACATCAAAGTAAGAAGCCAGTGGAGAATCAGCAGGCCTATTAAACTGTGTAAAGGGAGTAATCGAAAAGGAGAGGGGGATTGTTGGCGAGATAAATGGTTCGTAGATTCCAAGGCCGGAAGGGACCATTAGATCATCTAGTCTGACCTGTATATCACAGGCCATAGAATCTTGCCCTCTTACACTGTACTGAGCCCAGTAACTTGTGGATGATTAAAGTATGTCTTCCAGAAAAGATGTCCAATCTTGATTTAAAAAGATGGAGAAGCCACCGCCTGTCTTGATAGTTTGTTCCAATGGCTAATCACCTTCACTGTGTGTATTATTTCTAATTTGCATTTGGCTTTAACTTCCAGCCACAGATTCTTATTCTGACTTCCTTGATAAAGAGCCCTTTAGTACCTGTGAAGAAAATACAAGGGACATGGTAATCAAATCACCTTTCAATCTTCAAACCCAGTGGTTAGGGCACTTGTGTGGGATGTGAGAGACCTGGGTTCAAAACACTGCTCCTCATCAAGGGGAGTGGGGATTTGAACCTGAGTCTCCCAAATTGTGGATGAGTTCTTTAGCCACAGGACTATTGGTGAAGGGGAAAGAACCATCACCTCCTGCTTCTCAGTTTTTGTTGAGAAAGGGCTGACCCGGCTTAGGTGACTGACTCCAGAAGGCTCATGGCTGTGACCCCCCCAGCTAGAGGGAGGCACCTCCCTCAGACCGAAGTTAGGCACCTTCCTCCCTTTACCTACCACCACCACCACCCCTCTCCTCAGCATTTCCTATTGACTGGCTTAGGCAACTCCCCACTCAGCATGCTGGCTTTTGGGAATCCCTTTTTGAGGCATCTAACTCTTCTCAGTTCAGGGTTTGATAGGGTGACCCTATACAGCTTCATCCTCACTGATCAGCATGGTTTACAGATGACCTGGGACAGATGGAGCAGGAGAGGAAGCTAGACAGAAAGACAGCTAGAGTGCCAGTGGCAGAAATCTCAAGCCGAGTCTAATTGGTTGTGACATGAAGAATTTGCTAGGGAGAAATTGTGAAGGGCTTTAATCAGGTATACAAGTTGAAGAGAATATAATACTGAATGCCATTAGGAGTCTACAGTAACCGGTGACAAGAACCTGCACTCAGAAGCTGTTATCCAGAAATTGTGACCATGTCATTCAGATTCAGGCACCTGAAAAAACTGACTCTTACATATTCAAAAAAGGAAGGGGGAGCTGGATCAATAGTCCAGAGTTAGAGGTACACCTGGTGGGGTGAAGAAAAGCACTTTGCCACATCAGTAGATGCAAGTTATGTTATATGGAGAGGAAGGGTAGAAAAGGTGGGAAACCAGACTAGAATCTAGCTCATCCGATGAAGTGAGCTGTAGCTCACGAAAGCTTATGCTCAGATAAATTTGTTAGTATCTAAGGTGCCACAAGTACTCCTTTTCTTTTTGTGAATACAGACTAACACGGCTGCTACTCTGAAACCTATCTATTAATGGTGCAATGAGGTTAGTAGATGAGCACAATCTAATACTATCACAGGCAAACTTACTAATGCCTATAGCCAGTGAAAATGGGTTCCTTCCATTCAGTATCCAATAATAATTAGAAAATGGAGGGGGTCAACAGAAAATTTTGACTTTTTGTTGAAAAAAAACTTGATTTTTTGTTTAATTTTTTGGCAATACTTTCTGCAAAAATTTTCATTTAGTTAAAATCCAATTTTCCATTAAAAAAAGTTTTGAAGGAAAATTTTCAGCCAGCCCTAATAATCTTTAGCATGTACATACTTTAGTACTTTACAAATAGTATCTAACAAACCATCACAATATCCTTGTACAGTAGGCAGGTAACCATTTATATTAGTGTCTAGCCCCTAAGAAACCAGGAGACCCATAATGTTTGAAGTTTACCAGTACTTCATATGCAAAGTAAGTAAATGAATTATTACAGTGTATTATATCCTAATTTTTATATTTTTGAAAATTAATTGCCATAAAGAAAATCCACATGGCATTGTTTCCTATATAACATCCTATAGCATTGTTGGGATTGTGTTGCTTTGTTGCATCACATACAGATTTATCTGAAACATGACAATACTACATTTGAGAGACAAGGTGTTTTAGTGTGACTGGATCTCTGGGGTACAACTTGGAACCGTGGGACCCTTGTTCCCCCTTAGCTCTCCAATCTGGGCTGTCTCTCACAGTGCTTTGCTAGTGATAAGCAGTAAACACCTCCAGGTGCTGTGATCACTCAGCCACCCGCATGCAGAGATTCAAACAGTTTAGCTGAGTGTATGTTCTCTAAGCCACTCATGAACTATATAGAGGGAAACACTAGCAAATCCCCTTTGGGAAGAGACCTGAAGAAGAGCTCTGTGTAGCTCAAAAGCTTGTCTCTTTCACCAGCAGAAGCTGGTCCAATAAAAGATATTACCTCACCCACCTTGTCTCTCTAATATCCTGGACCAACATGATTACAACAACACTGCATACTATATTTGAGGAGGCATTTAGAGGCAGTTTTCCCCTCCGCATAGTAGCTAGGAAGTAATTTATGTGAAAGCATCAATGCTTTGTAGCCCCCTTTGAACAGTACTGCTTGAAACCATCTGCAGAACCTTTCTTGTGGTTATGTAAAATCTCCTTGTGTTACATCAGTCACCTTTCCTTTTCCAGTTACTTTGAAGCCATGTTCCGTTCCTTCATGCCAGAAGATGGACAAGTAAATATTTCTATAGGTGAAATGGTTCCCAGTAAACAAGCATTTGAGTCTATGCTGAGATACATTTACTATGGTGAAGTGAACATGCCTCCTGAAGATTCCCTGTATCCTTAAATCTACTGAAGCCTAAGGTCTGTAGATGCAATTGAAACAGACACTTTGGATTTCTTTTGCTATGGATATTTTAATATGTTGGCTCTGATTCTGCCATGTCATGCACCTGGTGTCATCATTTACACCTGTGCAAAGTGAGTGAAAAAAAATATGCCAGACCAGAAGAGTAGCATATTACACCTGCTCTGCACTGCTGCAAATGCCTTCATTGTGAGGGAGTGGAGAATCAGGCCCTTCTACTGGACTATGAAACAGTTCAGTTGAGTTAAACTATAACTAGTGTTATGATTTTGTCATGAAATTTTTAAATATATTTCATGGCAGAGGTGCTGGAAAACAACAATATGTCACAGAAAGAGGTTAGTGGGAGACGGAGAGTGACCCTACCCCACACTCGCCCCACAATGGCAACTCCTGTCCCGTGGGACTGAGCCCAGCTGTCCGCTCTAGGCATTGCGACCTAGCACATGGGGTCACAATGCTGAACAGTTTTGAAGAGTCCATGCTGCTATAGATGGAGATGGTAGGGCAGATGGACCAAACCTGAGTGGTGCTGTGACCCCATGTACAAGTTTGTAACACCACTTGGTTTGAGCACATTTCAGTTGTTTTGGAGGGCATTTGATGGACTTTATTCAAATTCATGCTTTCTGTGACCATCATGACAAAATCATAGCCTTAATTATAACTAGCCAGGGATTTGAACCTGGCTTTCCCATGTGAGTTTTCAGACCACTGATCTATGCAATTTCTCTCTTTTCCTGATCTAATGAATATTTAATTATACAAAGTGGAACAGCTCCAACAGGACAGATTGAGAAATCCCCACCCCAAATGTCCAATAGCCTGGCACTTAAGGTATTCACCTGGGATATGGGAGACTGGGGTTCAAGTCACTAATCCAGAGAAGGGTTTAAATCTAGGTCTCCTGCAGTCTAGGTGTGTGTGCTAACCATTGGGCTGTTGGCTGTAATGGGGGCAGGCTCTGTCTTGGGTTGTTTGTGTGAAAGGACTGGTGTGTCTTAGAGAGCTAGGGTAAGATGCACAAAAAGAGTGTCTCCTATACATCACTAACTTTCACAAAATCACCACTCAGCTGCCACCAAACTATGTAGGCACCTAAATCCCTAAAGGCACCTGCATTTCTGCTGGTGGGCATGCCCAAAGCTGACTAAATCCTGACACTGCCCTCACAGCTAACAAGACATTCAGAGCCTAAGCTGCTTCTTTGAGTAGATGCAGCCGTGTTGGTGGGTGCGTGCCTAGGGCTCTGGAGCCAGAGAACTTTGCTTAGCAATGTCTGTAAAGGGGCAGCGCTCACACCTCCTTGCCACAGCTTCTGGCTATATGAGGCGGCACCACCCTGACCCCTTTCATTTCCTTCTTACTGCCTGTGGCTGGAGTCAGAGCTTTGTGTGATTCTTAACCATGCAATCTCTCACTGTCTGTTTCTAGTGTTTGTTCTAGTCGTATATAATTAGTACCCTTAGTGTTAGTTAAATGTAGTGTTAATTACATTTAGTTAAGTATTTCCCCGGTGATGCCCTCACCATGGTTTAAAGATTGTTATATGGGGAGAGCGATCCCCAACAACAATCCCCACACACTGCTTACTGTGACGTCTACGTCAAGGAGCGGTGTGCAATTTCTAGGTCGTTCTTGAAAGGAACTCAGCTGGCTAGGGACCTTCGCCTAAAGCAGCACCTGCTTGACCAGGCCATGTGGCCTGCTTAAGCACCGAGGACCTCCTCAGATTGGAAGTCACCCTCAGGTTCTGAGAGTGCTGCCATGTCATGCTCTGGAGCCAGCGCCTCTCCAAAGGGATGGAGGAGGAGTTCCCCATCGAATGCACCGAGGAAGAGGTCACATAAGACCAATCCAGACCACTGCAGGTCTCATGAAAACTCTTCTGCCTCCTCCAGAAAAAGTGTGGACCAGCATTGTGTTAATGCCAGCATACATGAGGGTGTGGGTGCCTCTAACAGCTTCCTGATACTGAGCAGAGAGGTCAGAGACCCTCTACCATTGACTCTGATTCTTGAATCCAGTACTGACGAGAGTGATGCTGGCATCAGTTGTTTCCACGCCGGCGGCATATCAAGCAGCAACAGACCTCCTTTGCTTTTCCATCCTGACCCCTCCATTGATCCAGGCTTTTGCCAGGGCTGTGTCGTTTATAGCCTCATTGTGTGGATGGGCCACTGAACCTTTTGGTCCATTGGCACCACACTCCGATGTTCCCCTTCCACAGTCTGTGGAAGCAGGGCTGGTATGGGCTTGGTGCAAGGGATCTCTTTGGCACTGGGAAACTCCTTGGCACCATTGCATTCACACTTCTGATGTTACCATGGCAGCTCTCACTGCCCTCCACTTTGGAACCGTCAGCTACTTTGGTGCCACCACTGATTTTGGGGTCCACACCGCTCCCCCCATCGGGAACAATTTGGCAGGGCTCTTCCTCGCCTTCAATACCTGAGGATTTCAAGTCCTATCAGGACCTTTGGCGGCGCATGGCTGCTTCCCTGGGCATTCAGGCAGAGTTCCTGCAGGAGAGCACCATTATGTTGCTGGATATCCTGCAGCTGTCTGCTCCTGGGAGAGTGGCTCCTCTTATTAATGATGCACTCCTAGAGCCTGCAAATGTTCTTTGGAGATTGCCAGCTTGGAGGGATTGCTCAGTGGTTTGAGCATTGGCCTGCTAAACCCAGGGTTGTGAGTTCAATCCTTGAGGGGGCCACTTAGGGAACTGGGGCAAAAATTGGGGCTTGGTCCTGCTTTGAACAGGGGGTTGGACTAGAAGACCTCCTGCGGTCCCTTCCAACCCTGATAGTCTATGATTCAGTATCATGTATGACAAAGCACATGGAGAAACTCTGTTTTGTCCTGGTGCAGGGATCTGAAGGCTTTTATTTTCACCTGGATCCAAATTCCTGGTCGTAACTGTGGTGAACAATAAAGGCCAGCAGGGCAGATTTAAGTCCACTGCTAAGGATGAGGACTCTAAAAGGATGGACTTTATGGGTAGGAAGATTTATATCTCCTCCTTTTTGCAAATGCAGATTGCAAACCAGCAGGCATTGTTGTCCAAATACAAATTTGTAAATTAGATGTTCATGTCTAAGTTTGCAGATCAGATGTCTGAAACCTCCAGAGAGAAATTTGGGGCATTCATTACCAAAGGCTGCTTGATGGCCAAGACATCATTGCAGTCGATGCTGAACATCACGGACTCTTCAGTCAGAGTTGTGGCCTCCAAGAGACCATGAGAAGGGTATCTTGGCTGCAGAATTTGGGCATTGCTCCTGACATGCAGCAGGCTATAGATGATCTGCCTTTCAATGGCTAGGTGCTTTTTTCAGACAAGATGGACAAGACTCAGTACTTCAAGGGTTCTAGGGCCACCCTACATTCCTTGGGTTTGTACACACCGGCAGAGCAAAGGTGCTGCTATGGGCAGCAGCAGCAATACTGTCCACAATGCACTTTTGGGCAGTCTCAGCCTTCCATCGCAGTTTGGATGTGCCTGAGGCTCTTGGGCCACATATCTGTTTGCATGCAGAGGGTTCTGTTAGCAAGATTGCGCCTTCACCCCTTCAGATGTGGCTCAGGATGGTTTACCATCTGACTCTTCATTCCTTGGACAGATCGGTCCATCTACCTCCACTGGTCCTGGACTCCTTGTAGTGGTGGATGCTTCCAGAAAGTATATGTCAGGGCATTCCCTTTTTCCAGCCCCTACCAACCAGGTCTGTTGTCTCTGACATCTCCCTGGTGGGCTGGGGAGCACATCTGGAGTCACTGAAAATTCAGATTTCAGAGTAGCAGCCATGTTAGTCTGTATTTGCAAAAAGAAAAGGAGGACTTGTGGCACCTTAGAGACTAACCAATTTATTTGAGCATAAGCTTTCGTGAGCTACAGCTCACTTCATCGGATTCATTCAGTGGAAAATACAGTGGGGAGATTTATATACATAGAGAACATGAAACAATGGGTGTTACCATACACACTGTAAGGAGAGTGATCACTTAAGGTGAGCTATTACCAGCAGGAGAGCGGGGGGGGGGGAAGGGGGAGGGGAGAAACCTTTTGTAGTGATAATCAAGGTGGGCCAGTTCCAGCAGTGGACAAGAACATCTGAGGAACAGTGGGGGATGGAGGGGGGGAATAAACATGGGGAAATAGTTTTAGATCTCTATCAAGCATTCTTACAACTACAATACCAACCTGCTGAAGTGAAGAAACAGATTGACAGAGCCAGAAGAGTACCCAGAAGTCACCTACTACAGGACAGGCCCAACAAAGAAAATAACAGATCGCCACTAGCCATCACCTTCAGCCCCCAACTAAAACCTCTCCAACGCATCATCAAGGATCTACAACCTCCTGAAGGACGACCCATCACTCTCACAGATCCTGGGAGACAGGCCAGTCCTTGCTTACAGACAGCCCCCCAACCTGAAGCAAATACTCACCAGCAACCACACACCACACAACAGAACCACTAACTCAGGAACCTATCCTTGCAACAAAGCCCATTGCCAACTGTGTCCACATATCTATCCAGGGGACACCATCGTAGGGCCTATTCACATGAGCCACACTATCAGAGGCTCGTTCACCTACACATCTACCAATGTGATATATGCCATCATGTGCCAGCAGTGCCCCTCTGCCATGTACATTGGTCAAACTGGACAGTCTCTACGTAAAAGAATAAATGGACACAAATCAGACGTCAAGAATTATAACATTCAAAAACCAGTTGGAGAACACTTCAATCTCTTTGGTCACTCGATTACAGACCTAAAAGTGGCAATTCTTCAACAAAAAAACTTCAAAAACAGACTCCAACGAGAGACTGCTGAATTGGAATTAATTTGCAAACTGGATACAATTAACTTAGGCTTGAACAAAGACTGGGAGTGGATGGGTCATTACACAAAGTAAAACTATTTCCCCATGTTTATTCCCCCCTTCCACCCCCCACTGTTCCTCAGATGTTCTTGTCAACTGCTGGAACTGGCCCACCTTGATTATCACTACAAAAGGTTTCTCCTTCCCCCCCACCCCTGCCGCTCTCCTGCTGGTAATAGCTCACCTTAAGTGATCACTCTCATTACAGTGTGTATGGTAACACCCATTGTTTCATGTTCTTTATGTATATAAATCTCCCGGCTGTATTTTCCACTGAATGCATCCGATGAAGTGAGCTGTAGCTCACGAAAGCTTATGCTCAAATAAATTGGTTAGTCTCTAAGGTGCCACAAGTTTTTCTTTTTGAAAATTCAGGGTCTGTGGTCAGAGCAGGAAGTGTCTCTGCATATCAACATACTGGAGCTTCGGGCCATCTGCGATACTTGTCCCGCCTTTCTGAACCGCATCGGGGAGCCATCATTTACATATTTACCAGTGATACTGCTGTGATACATTATGTGAACAGAGAAGGGGAGTACAATCCAGGGTGGTTAGGTTATGGCAGTTCTGCATCGAGGAGGCTATCACTCTAATAGCCGATCGCTTTTCCGAGGCCCAGAATCATCTCGCAGACCATCTCAGAAAAAAATTTTCCCTGAATCACGAGTGTTCCCTGAAGACAAGCATCCTGCAGGTCATCTTTGCAGCTTGGGGCATTCCAACAACCAACCTGTTTGCTACAAGGGACAACAGGAAATGCCATCTGTTCTGCTCTCGAGGGGAATTCTGTCCAGGCTCCCTGACTGACACCTTCCATCTCAGCTGACATTAGCTCTTCTGTATGTTTTTTCCCAATCCCAGTCATACAACAGATCATCCTCAAACTGAAAGCGGATCAGGCCATGCTTATCCTCCTTGTACCAGCATGGCTGAGGCAGTGTTGATTCTCCAACCTTGCGCTTGTCAATTCAGCCTCCTTTATCCCTTCATCTTCATCCTGACCTACTCACTCAGAATCATGGTGTTGCCTTGCATCCCACACTCAGCTCCCTGCATCTCACTGTGTGGCTGTTTTGTGGTTGAACGAGAATGAAAAGTGTTGTTTGGCAGCCATTCTGCAGGTTCTATTAAATAGAAAGCCCTGTACCAAAATCACCTGTTTGAGAAAATGGAAGCATTTTTTTGGTGTGTTCATCGGCCCCGCAGAATTCAACTGATGCTGGTCTCTATCCAGGACATCTTAGAGTACTTGCTGTGTCTTCGGTTGCCTGGTGGTGCCTTTAGCTCTTGAGGTCGCACCGGGTAGTGATTTCAGTGTTTCATCCACCCATTCTTGGAAGATCAGTCTTTTCCAGTACCATGGCAGCAAGATTCTTTAAAGGCCTTCTTCATCTCCATCCTCCAGTGTCTCAAAACCAGTTCCTCTGTGGGACCTTAATACTTTCCCAGTGGACTTAATGGGACCTCCATTTGAGTCTCTGGCATCTTAACCCTTTCTACTTTCTGTCAGAAAACTGCTTTCCTGGTTTCAATAACATCTGGAAGGGGAGTCTCTGAGTTGCAGGCTCTGAGAGCCTCCTTATACAGGGTTCTCGAAGGTGGTATATGTACCCATGTTTTTTCCTGAGCTGCAATCAGCTCCGGAGGAGCAGTATCTCCATACTTTAGTTGTCAGATGATGTCTTGTCATTATACCATTACTGCATCTTCCAGAGCTAATGCAAACTTTGAAAGGGCGGTCCAGCAATCCTTAGTTACACTCTGAGCCCCACCTCCTGTGGATACTCCTTGTGCATCACCTATGTGGAATACTCGGTTGCATGTAATTGAAGAAGAAGAAACCAGTTACTTATTGTAACTGGTTCTTCTAGATGTGATACAGACATGAATTCCACTACCCACCCTCCACCTCCTTTCCATCAGAGTCTGGTCTCTGGATGTTCGTTGCAAAGGAACTGAGTGGAGTTGGGGCGTCACTGCCTTCAAAAGCCTGGAGTGGTGCTATGGCTATGAGGCGTGAGCGCTGCCCTTCTGCAGGTACTGCTAGGGAAAATTCTCTTCCTCTGCTGCACTGGGTACACACACGCCTAAGTGGAATACACACGTCTGCATCACATCTTGAAGAATCAGAGTTAGTAAGTAACCTTTTCTTACACCCAAGCCACAGTGGAATTCTCAAAGTAGGTGTTCCCTGCCCATCTCACTTGTGCAGGGCCTGATCTGGTTGATGCACTCAGAGCATGCTGAACCCACACAAAAGGGTAAGCAAGTCATCACCTGATAGCCTGGTGTTTACAGCAAGCACCAGGAGTGTAGGAAACATGTGTTAGAGCAGGGTTATGAAAACAGGTCTCCCACACCCCCAGGTGTGTGCAGTGGGCTATTGGGGGCTGGACTTGATGGCCTCTTGAGAGCCCTTCATTCCTATAATTTTAAAATGGGGTAGAGGAGTGTCTCTTCAATTCTTTGTGAGAAAGAGCTCACCTGGTTTGGGTACCTAAATCCAGGAAAGGGTTCAAGGCTAAGAATCCTGAGCATAGATAGGCGCATCCTTCCAGCCTCTCAATTTGGTATGTAAATCCCTTTGTGAATCTGGGCCCTAAGCCCTCTGCATTTCACTCCTGGCCAGCTCAGGCAGTTCCCTGCTCAGCTGCTGGCTTCTGAGAATCCGGTTCATAGGTGCTTAACTCTCCCCATACAATGCATGGGGAGCCTGACAACCTAACTCGGGACGTGAATTCCACTGTGTGGCAAGGTGCCTAGAAGTTAAGTATTGCAATGCCAAGATCCCCTGCGTGAGCACAACTATGCAGGACTTAATCCCTGCTCACTATATTTTTGGGCCATTGCTGTCATTCACAATGGGTACCAGAGAGTATGCATGCCTCAGTATGTTGGACTGGTCCACTGACTAACCATCTTGCTATACAACTCTTGGGGAAGTACTTTATGGTTGTCCATGCAAGCTCCCTCCAAAGATGTACATAGAGTCATAGAAATGTAGGGCTGGAAGGGACTTGGAGAAGTCATCAAGTCCAGCCCCCCCTGCTCTGAGGCAGGACCAAGGAAACCTAGACCATCCCTGACAGGTGTTCGTCCAACATGTTCCTAAAAACTGCCAATGATGGGAATTCTACAACCTCCCTTAGAAGCCTATTCCAGAGGTGAACTACCCTTATAGTTAGAAAGTGTTTCCTAATATCTAATGTAAATCTCCCTTGCTGCAGATTAAGTCCATTACTTCTTGTTCTATATGAGCAGCTGGCCCCTGAGCCAGCTGCTTGGGCAGCCCTGGGATCAGCCACACTGGCTGCTGCAGAAGTCATGGAATCCATGACTTCCGCAACCTCCATGGCAGACACGGAGCCCTAATTATTACCAACTTGGAACACAGATTTGTTCTCCTTGACTAGCTTTATAGCTACCTCTTCTCTGCCCCTTATTATTATGGTTTCTACAACAACAGACTTCAAGCATACTGCAAGCAGAACCTGGAAATGAATGTTACAGTGGAAAATGTGCTCCAGGTAATTGTCCCTGATCCATTTTAATTAGTCATTGGTAGTCTTAAATACAGTAAATATTCAAGAAATTCAAAGGGTCCAGCAACACCAGCCAGAAGGGTCTGTGATTTACTCACATTCTTAGACAAAAATAATTGGCTAAACTGCAGTTAAGATTATAGGGATACTATAGTTTTTGGGTGGAAAAGCATTAGAATGCCATGGAATTGAAACAGAATTTGTAAACAAGAATGTGCAAAATTTGAAGTATGGGGATGAGTTAAAACATTTGATGTTTCTAGGCCAAGCTGTTATACAGATGTGACTGGAGAAAGTGTATTAAAATTTTTACAGAGTAAGTAATACTTGTGTTCTTCTTCAGAGGCTTCTGTGCATCCCTACTTGCAGGTCTGACATCCTCTGGCTTCAAGTTCATGGAACCTCTACTACAGCTGTATCCAGTGGGGCTGCATATGCCCTCCTAGTGATGTCAGTGCTCAATATCTGAATCTATATAAAGCAGTGCAGACCCCAGTGTCTTCATTTCCTTCTCCTCTCCTGTGCAAAGCAGTAGGATCCTCGCTGTGTGTGACTTTGTCTAATTATTTGATAGACCATCTGAATTTTCTTTTATTCACTTTAATTATAAGGAAGAGAATAGTGTAGGAGATTGATCTGGTGTTGGTCCATGCAAAGATGGCTGGAGTAGAGCCCTAGAAAGGCTGTAAGAATATCTGACAGTCTATCTGAAATCAGACATGTATGTTTAATGTCTGGTGTGCTCAGGTGAAGCTCACACTCCATCACATTCATCCCCAGAGTATGCCATGATCAGCAATTGAGTCTAAAGGCCTATCTGTCTTTCAAACCAGTGACACTCAGACAGCACAGGCCCTGCTATCAGGCTGACAAGGCAATAAAATCTGGGCCCACAATGACCCTCCTTGGCACAAAAATGCACTACTATTAAATGAGTGAAGCCTTGGAACCTGGCTCCAGCCTCTTCACCGGCCTCAACTTGGGCCTCTAACAAGGGTTCCAGTGCCAGGTCTGTGCCTCAGGCAGCACTGACCTCCCCTGTGAAGCATTATCAGGCCTTTTCATCTGCATTGGCACTTGTGATGCGGATAAGTTTGACTCCCCAAATGGTATTAGTTTCGAGACCCGTTTATTGAGAGAACATCCTCAGCTGTTGAAGATCCTTCTATAGCACCTGCTGCACCATCCTAGGAATATACACCATCTGCACAGAAGAAACAAGGAAAGGAAAGCATAGGTCTGGTTCTGGGGAAGTGAAGAAGGAAAGAAGAAATTCCCCAGGGTTGATTTTGGAGAAGGTCTCAGCTCCTAAGTTGTCACTGACCCTGTAACCGCTGCAGACTTCCCCAGTTCATGTTCCTGGTAGTCCAGCAACTTTTCCCAAGACTGGTCAACTAGTCCACATACAAGATTTTTGCTTCACTGGTGCACGGTTTGGCTTTGGAACTTACTCCTGATTCATCTCTGGAATTCCTGTTCAGTGATGCCCAGGATCTCCCTTTTGCTTCACTCAGGCTCCCTTTGAGTGAACCATCACCATCAGCCTTCATACACCTCTTCAGTTCCACAGAGCACTCTGTCTTCCATGATATCAGGAGTTCACAGATGTTGCTATGGCATTCCTTCACAAAGCCTTAAGGACACTACTTGGTGGTGCTTGAACTGTGTGGTCTCTGCTGCATTAGAAAAGATAAAGGGTACTAAATCTGCTCCCTGGGCACAGAATTTCCTCGCTCAGTAGGAAATCATATTTGTTGGGATCCAAGTGTATTGCCAGTTACTAGGCAGTGACAAGATACTAACAGTACACCCTCTGGGATGCAATTGTTCTGTAGTTGATTGCTAAAGATCAGGCTAAGGCAGCAAAGGATCTTGCCACTGAAGCAGAAGTATGGCCTGTCATTCCCCCCATGCGGCCTATGACACCTCTGCCCCTTGCAACAGAGCCACGGCCGCAGAGATATTCAGGAATTAAATCATAGAATCATAGAATATCAGGGTTGGAAGGGACCCCAGAAGGTCATCTAGTCCAACCCCCTGCTCGAAGCAGGACCAATTCCCAGTTAAATCATCCCAGCCAGGGCTTTGTCAAGCCTGACCTTAAAAACCTCTAAGGAAGGAGATTCTACCACCTCCCTAGGTAACGCATTCCAGTGTTTCACCACCCTCATAGTGAAAAAGTTTTTCCTAATATCCAATCTAAACCTCCCCCACTGCAACTTGAGACCATTACTCCTCGTTCTGTCATCTGCTACCATTGAGAACAGTCTAGAGCCATCCTCTTTGGAACCCCCTTTCAGGTAGTTGAAAGCAGCTATCAAATCCCCCCTCATTCCTCAGACCTTACCCCAGAATCACAAGTGTGAATACAGAATTTGAAAGTTAAGGCCATTTTACTGAAAAAAATCAACAAAACCTTAGAGATTTTTGGTAAGATGAGACCCTGAAACATAATCCAGAGACCGGTATGAGACCTAAGGCCTGAACTAAAGTAATGGTCAAGACTTTGCTAACATAAAGCAAGTTAAGCTGTGATCCAGAGGCAGGTTCTGCTCACAGGAGCTGGCAAGAAGAAGGCTAATGTTGCAAATATACATGTACCTAAAAGGTACGAAGCACTAGTAATATAAACATGTGCCAGGACAGTACCAGAACATTCCGGTACTAGCACATTCCACATAGATAACAAGGAATATACTGACCCATCCTAAAGACAGGGGCAGGAGGGTAATATGATGGATAGAGTTGTTTTGTTTGAACCAACATGTACAAGGTGAGAGGCAGCACCCTAACACATAGTGGGGTTGCACCTCTATACGTCAGAGTAATGTGTAACTTATTGTATCGTGAGCTGTAGCTCATGAAAGCTTATGCTCAAATAAATTGGTTAGTCTCTGAGGTGCCACAAGTACTCCTTTTCTTTTTGCGAATACAGACTAACACGGCTGTTACTCTGAACCCTGAAGGGTTGTCTTTGTCTGGCCTAGGGGGCAATGGAGAGTCCCACCACTGACTAAGCAGGTCCATTGTCAGGGGGTACATATTTGTAGTATGTCCTGTAGAGTCTCTGGGAAACTATTACTGTGCTTCGTTTGACAATAAACCTGGCCAGGTGCCTTCGTACCTTATCAGAGTCTGTGGTCATTGGGGATTCTCTCGGGGTCTGCTGTGTCAGCTACCTGCTCAGAGCTGAAGCAGCACGAAGAGGGAACGCACACATGCAGCTGACTGTTATCAACATTGAACAGAGCAGAGCACCACACTGGTGATATCTGACGACATTGGTGTGGTGACACCACAGTTGGGAGCCGCATTCCAGTTTCTTGCACGCTCTTCTCTTCATTTACCACCTCCACGTCCTTTAGAGACTTCACAAAGCCAAGTATGAAATCACATCAGACTGCTGGATACTGAAGACTACGCATCAAGGTTACTCCATACAGTTCTTCACCATCCTGCTTCCAAGCCCCCCTTCTCAGTTCCTCTTCACAGATCCTTTGGAAGATAGATGGCCTGAAGACTGAAGAGACACATCAGAACCTTCAAAATGAGGATGATCACTATGGCAGTGGTTCTCAACCAGGGGTCCGGGGCCCACTGGGGGGCCAAGAGCTGGTTTCAGGGATTCAGTCAAGCAGGCCCAGCATTCGACTTGCTGGGGCCCTAGGCAGAAAGATGAAGCCCCACTGTATGGGGCTGAAGCCTGAGGCCCCAAGCCCTACCATCCAGGGGCCCAAGCCCCACCGCTTGGAGCAGATGCCAAAGCCTGAGCAACTAAGCTTTGCGGGGCCCCTTATGGTGGGGGACCCTGGATAATTGCCCTGCTTGCTACCCCTAATGCTGGTCCTGGCTTTTATTTGCAGAAAAACAATTGTGGCACAGGTGGACCGTGGAGTTTTTTTAGCATGTTGTGGGGGCCTCAGAAAGAAAAAGTTTGATAACCCCTGCTGGTTCGTCATTCCCCCTCCCTATTCCAAAGAGACTGAAGGCTTATCTACATGAACATTGAGTTCTCAGCAAGCTGGGGTGAAAATCTGTCCTGCACTAGTGTGCCACTCACTAAGTATTCATGTGGACCCTGCTGCTGTGCACTGAAAGTTCCCTGGTACACTTTGATCTACCCCACTTTGAAACAGGAGTAGATTAAAGTGCATTAGGGAACTTTTAGGGTGTGTCAGCAGGAGCCCTACGGAAACTTACCCCACACTAGCATGCCGCACACTACGTTTTCACCCCAGCTTGCTGCAAATCATTGCTCATATAGACAAGCCCTGATGCATGATTCTTGATTTGAAGGACACCTACTTTCACAGACATAAAGCAATCACATAGGAAATGCATGAAGTTTTGCATAGGAGAAAAGTTTTTACAATACAGCGTTCTCCGTCAGCCTGTCAACAGCACTAAGAGTGTTTACTGAGCGCCTGGCTGTGGTGACAACCCAGCTAAGGAAAAGAGGAATATATGTTTTGCCATATCTATACAACTGACCTCTCAAAGCCAGATCATGGCAGGAGCTCTTCTGCTCTTTGGTCCTGACCTGTCATTTAATCAAGACTTTGGGGCTCAAAATCAAGTGGGGCATGTTGAACTGTGCCCTTGTAAGAGCCTCACTTTTAATGGCACAGTCTGAGACTAACCTGTGGACAAGATGTTGCTGCCAGAAGACAGATTTCACAGATTTCACAGTACCAGTCAAACTCTGCAAACCTTGCAATATCAGCTTTTCTTTCTGAGGCTCATGGGACTTAGGCAAGAGCTAGGCATCTGGACACCCCTGGTAACGCAGCAGTGTGCCTGCCCACAGGCAGTAAGATAGGCATCTAGGGAACTTTTAGTGCAAATAGCTGAGTGCCAAGTGAGTTCAGACGCTTGCAGGGTTTGGCAGGGGGTTGTGCATCACAGTGGTGCTGAAAGTAGGACTTAGATGCCTAAAATAGGGACTTATGCACCTAATTCCTTTCATGCATTCAGGCCAAGGCAACTAGACCAACATGAGTGGTCTCTGGAAACATCGTTGTCTTGCCATCTCTTCTGCACGTAAACATCTGTGCTAAAATGCTTTGCTATAAAGGCAGAAAGGGTCACCTTTTCTGTTCAATAATGGTCAGGAAGAAGGAGTCTCTCAGAGTCACATTCCTCCTGGACTGGAGCAAGAACTTTGTACTTTCCTGGCAGTACCTCGTATCCTGAGAGAGGGTAAAAACTCTTGTCATTGCTCCAGAGTGTCTCAGAGCACTGGTATGCCAAGCTGTTGCATCCTCCTTTGAGCTACCATGTCACATTCTGCTATCTCCTGATCTTCTATCTCAGGCTGGAAGAGAATTCTGCATCCAGATCTAGTATCTTTGCATCTGACTGCCGGGCTGATAGATTCTTAACCAACTCTGACCTGTCTAGTTCTGCAAGAGTGAGAAAGATTCTTCAGTCTAGAAAACGTGTGACACACATGTACTGTGTTCAAAGTGGAAGATATGCTCCACTTGGGCAATGGCTGAAGGATTGTTCTAGAGTGCTCCCCTCCATTCTAGACCACTACCAAAAGGAGACCAGTCTGTTCGATGCATCCCCAAAAGTCCATCAGGATGCAGATTCTGTATGCCAACTCCATCTGCAAGGGTCTAGTGTGGTTGGGCGGTTCATTTCCTCCACACTCTGCAATCACACATTCCATCTAAGGCTTTGCGAACACCTTTCTCTTGTGAGGTAGCCTCTTTCTGCATGGGACTTGCACTGGGTGCTAGCAAAGGTCATGGAACCACACCTCTGAACCACTGGCAAACTGCTTTTTGGACTATCTCTTACAAAAAAGCCTTACTCAATGCCATTATGTCAGCTTGGAGGGTCAGTCAGTTGCAGATTTAATGGTGACCTAGTTTTACACATAAGGCTGAGGGATTTCTATAGCCACACCCAAACTTAATTGCTAAAACAGTGATGGATTTTCATATTAACCAGTCTGTATCCCTTCTGGTTTTCTTCCTCAAAACTCACACCACTCCCAGAGGATGCATATTTTCACACATTGAATGTGAGAAGGGCACTCTGTTTCTGTCCAGAGAGAACTAAGCCCTTCTGAAATAGCACTAGGCTAATTTAGCATATGGGAAGAGGTACAAGGGACAGGTTGTTTCTTCTCGCAGGTTATCCAAGTGGATCATCTTGTCCATTTGTTTCTCTTACTCTTGGACTAAGGTTCTCTTGCCATTATGCATTACAGCCATTTGTGTGGCATGTTCAAGCTGTTGCCCAGTAGGGCGTTCTGTAGAGCACTCATTTAGAGTTCAGATCACATCTTAGCAAGCACTGTTCCTTAATCTTGACCACCTGTTTGGAGGCCGAGACTGGGAAAGTAGTGCTACAACTTCTCTTCAGCTGCAAACTCCTCAGCCTGCCTTGCATCTCTGTGGGTACTGCTCGCTAATCTCCTGCAAATGAGAATGCACAGAGGACCTGGAAGAAGAAACTTATAACAGTTGTTCTTTGAGAGTTATCTTTCTGCATTCACACTTCCTGTCCCCATTCCATACAGAGTTCTCATCATGCTTTGGTATAGAAGAAGAAGCCGAGGTGGTTGGGTACTGGACTTCCTTCTGTAGGCTTAGAAGTTGAACATCAGTGTCAGTAAGGGGTGCTCATGCAGACCCAATGGACACTGATTTGGTAGAAGTTCCATCAGCAGATCATTGGGAGTGTCAAACCCACAAATGTGAATGCATAGAGGCAACTTTCAATGAACGACAGTTACCATAAATAAACTATTTTTTCCTAAAGATCATGGACCAGATCCTCTGCCCTGGTCCTGCTCATTTTTTGCTGCCCAGGTGGTGCAAAAGAGCCAAAATCTAGCCAACTAAGAATTTCCCTGGTAGAGGGAATCCTCAGTTGGCAAAAAGTTAGCAGTGCTCCCTCCTACGTTGACTGCTCCCCACCCACAGCCTAGGGTATTGCTTTCCCTTTGCCTGCACCAGTCTCATTCTGGCACCTGAGACAATCTGGCTCCATGCATAGCCTAAGTCGTCTCCAGATTTCCATAAAAATTACCTTCTGACAAGAACCACACACAACAGCCAAAATCCAGTTCAGAATGGAAAGCTGGTAGCAACCTCAAGTTTAGGGAAATGACCTTCTCTGCATAAAATCAGCACTTGTCTGTGATTAGACTTTTATCAGAAGAAGAAAGAGAAGAGAGTTTTAACTTTGTTCTGCTCTAGATTTTAGAGGCAGCTGACAAGACACAGGCTCTGGACATGAAGAAGCACTGCCTACATATCATTGTTCACCAATTCACCAAGGTTGGTTGGATCTTCTCTGGGTTTCTGGGAATCTGTTGTCCTCTGTCACTACCATGGCTGAGAGCAGCTTAATCTGGGCCTTCATTTAATTCTTCTTGCTTCACAGGACAGTTTGCTGTGCTTACAACTGGGCATTGTTACTGACAGGCATACTGTGGACAATACCTGGTTTTCTTGTCTTTTTTTATCTAAAGGAACAGCTTTTTGGAGACATGAAAACCTACCAAAACAGAGCAGATATTCAGAACTCCCACCATTTCCTTGTCCTTTTCTTTCTGAAATATTAGCCCTTCTGTGCTACACCAGTGCTGGGTTTTGATATGTATGACAAGATATGTTTGACATGTATTGAATGTACAAGCTTCTTTCTCTGGCAATTATAAATGTGATACTCAGTTTTCTGGTGAAGAAAGTACTGTCTATGTGGTAGTGGTAATGGTAATATTACATAATTTCATAAAACATATCATCATGTTCATAGATCATAGAATATCAGGTTTGGAAGGGACCTTAGGAGGTCATCTAGTCCAACCCCCTGCTCAAAGCAGGACCAATCCCCAGTTGTTCTGGCTGGATCTTCTACAGTCTCCATATTTGTGAAACTTAAATATGGATTATTGTATAAAATAGTGAGAAAATGTCAAAAGACTGAAATTCAAATTCCCGTTAGTTTGTGTCATATGATATGTGGTCCCTTATTGATGGGAATATTGTTATTCAATACATTGTGTGTCCAAACAAAGAACCCCAACTACCAAGAGGCAG